CATATTTTTGGGTGATAAACAACATTTTGGACACGTAGAACCAAATTCCATGTCCCATCCTGACCACCATCTCGAACTGATGATGCAGAAAGTTCACGGCGTCGAAATAGTCCTGGAAGATGTGTAGTGTAAACGGTATCATGGTAGTGGTTTACACAGTTCCCATCTTTAAGTTGCAAATTGCGAGAAAGCCGGAACTTTGTTTTGAACCCTGGGATTCGCTACCATTCGAAGTCTCAAGATATTTTGACAGGTTAAAGCTGGCATGTTTTCCAGCGCCCGTCGCCATAGCGGTTGTATGTCCAGCCATGGCATATACCCCACTACTGCATGTAGCATATTCATGCCAAGTTTTGAAAGAAAACTGGCCAGTCGAAAGTTTCATGAATTGATCCATCAAATTGATGGTCGAAAATGGGCACCATCACTTTGCGGCTCGGGAGGCACCTGCTTTGGCCTGGCCGTGTTGCGCTGGCACCCAAGTGGCTGAGCAAGGATGGAAGAGGAGTAAGGGGTTCATGGTTTGTATCTGGGTTATATAAAAAAATCAACCGTGCAGTTCATTCCCTTAGCTATATAATAGGGATTTCCTCAAATTGGGAGATCCCCACAACTATACGTTGCATGAAAGACTCAAAATTGTATTTTTTGGATGATTGTACATGGGATATCATCACATGTAATGTTAACCCGTATTTATATATTTCTCCATCAGGGACCCAACCATAAACAATAGAATGGTAAGGAGGAATACCTTAATTTGATAGATTGGCTCTTGGAGGCGCATCACACTTAGTAAATGTGGTCTATATAACAATTAATTATATAATGGGATTGTATGAGGATATATGGATTCAGAACCAGTTATAAGTGGGATGCACATCCATCCAAGTTAAATGGTTCCTACAAGGAGTCAACGTGTCAGACACCAACCTATGCCAAAGTTAAACACTGGGGATATTTGGGGGTAATCTCATCCCTTCATAATGTGTGGGGTTGCATGGGAACTTTATTATATTTAGATTCTATAATGCTAGGATCTCCCCCACGCATTGGTTTCCCAAAAAAAATATAAAGATATTGGATCCCACATTCAGGGCCGGTCCTTTGCACCGGCTCTGGATGCCCGGGTCAACGTCTGGGCTTCCACCGCATCTTCTTGGTAAAGCTTCATGCGCTGCTGCGCCAGCTCGCATGCGGCGGTCAAGGCATCCAAATCGGCTCCGACAAACTCCTGGCAGGACAGGTTGGTTGTGTAGTATGTTAGCAATGGGTTGGCCAGTTTGTTTGAAGAAAAACACAATGTGTAGTGAACTCCTTGTTCCCATTGGCAGTTTTCTGCGTGAGTTGCAGAAAGCTGCGTTCCAACTCGTCTGCATGTCCCTTGAAGCTCTGACCTTGGTGGGCTAAGTAAGATGGGAGTGTAAGTATTTTACATTCTTGAAATGTGGCAATATATACATATATCCCAACTCTTACCATATTTTTAAACACCCGCAGTGAATGAGCCTAGTGGCACAAGGCATCCTGGTGCTTTAAGTGGGCAAGCTTCACAGGCCACATGCGTGAGTTCTGAAGATCGCTGTTCAGCCTGTTGAGGATCCACAGGGCCTTTGCCCGTGGCTCTTCAGGCACCTCATTCCTCAGTAGAGAATATGTATCAACCCCGTATTTTGCCACGCAGGGATGAGTTCAAGATGCTTTTAGATAATGCTACTCACTGACATACCATGCCCAGTTTGGGGTTAATTACCATGTTTAAGTCTATCCCAGGCTTATGGCTCCGGAATATAGGAAATATAGCTATCGATTAACCATCAATATAATATTATAATCTAGGTGAATGAGGTTCACACATCACACAATTTGGATTTTGGAATGTCTAAAGATTTTCGCAGTTTTGCGGGGTCAGCCCACCCGAATCCGAGGTACCCATTATAGATAACCCACCAACAACAACCAATAAGGGTTTGTGAATCATTTTCTTATATTCTTATCTTATGTATGGTTGCTTGAATCCCCATAATGGTATATCGAGAATCTTTCGCCTTGGGGCTGCTGCACCATCGCCATCTCCAGTCCTGGGCTTGGGGGCCTTCTTCGGAGCCGGCTTTCCAGGAGCTGCGTCAGGTGCACTGGAAGCCAATCCGCCAGCGACGGCGGGTGCCCCAGTACCCTCTTGCTTCGCGGGCTGGAGGCGGAGAGGCTCATTCATCACAGTGGGTCCAAAGTCACCCATGTCGGATGTGAACCGTTCTGCCTAGCCAGGGACCCCTATATTTTTTCTAAAATGCGAACATACGTGTTTTCATTGTTTCATGGGGGGGGCCATTACAAACATCATAACTCAGGCACCTGCTCACCATGGGTCTCACCAGAAACTTCCATCGTAACTCGATCTTCGTGCTCATCTTCAGCTACGCTCTCAAGATCTACTAGCACGTAGAACATCATAGCACTCAGATCTCCAGGGGCATCCGGGTGTTCTTTGTACTGGTTAGAACGGGTTTTCTCATCGATTATGCGCTGCACGATCTGCGCATCATTGTGCATGGCCATCAACTGTGCTTGTGTTTTCCATCCTAGGCATTTCAACAAGGGTGTCACCCTACGTAGTTGGTTAAGCAAAAAAAAAGTGTGTACCAGAACAAGGCGCAGGGAATCCTACTGAAATTCCATGTGCCCCCTCCTATGTCCTATGATCAGTGAAATTTCAACATCTTGTGGGCTAACTGAGGTTTGGTCCATGCCGGGTTCTTCCAATGTTGCGATCGGTCCGGGTCCTGGAGCATCTCAGCGAAAGCCTCAGTATGAGAGGAAACAAAAAATGTTGAAGGGGCTTCATGACAGAAATGGTTCGGATTGGTTAGTTGACCTGGAACCCCGGATTAGTTTCAAATAAGTTGATCATATATAATATATATAGACCATGTGGGCTCCATATATAATCCAAAATCATGATCACCAAGTAACTTAGACCAGTCCTTCCCTGACCGAAGAAAAGCTTGGAAGACTGCATTTTTGGCAGCACGACTCCTGGACTTAACCGCTTGATTCCATGACTCAAGGATATCGGCCGGGATCTCGAAGTTTTCGCTGGACTCCAACTGCCTTATTCCAGAGCAATCGGGGTTTTGGTGACAGACTTTACTACCCCCATCCCATGGTTTGTTTCTTAATGTTATGATCATGAACCAGCTGCAAGCAACACTTCAAACAATCATCAAATTCCCGAACAATAATCAAATGGTAACGGTTTTCATTTTTTTGTGAACCTATTGATTTGGAAGATCACTAAATCATTGATGGCCTCTTCATCTGTGCGTAGTGCGCCTGTCTCTCCTTGTAGGATCCAAACGTCACTTCCACACCAGCCTCAAAAGCGGTGAGGTACCAGGGTACACTTTTTTTTTGAAAAAAAACTGTCATGAAAAAACTTTTGGTTCTTAATCCAATTGAGAAACTGGTGCATGAACTTGGATCTGGCTGGCAAGTGTTCCAGCTGGCACCAAAGCAGTGGAATGAGTGGTAGTAGAGGCTGGCGGTGTTGCTGCTGCAGTCGATGCTGTGGTTGCTGAAGGTGAATTGCTGCCAGTTGATGCTGGTGAAGTGGGTGTGCTTGCAGGTGGTGTTGGCGCTCGTGGTGCTGCTGTTGACACGGGTGCTGGTGGTGCTGCCTTTGCTTCTGGTGCTTTCAAGATTGAGGCAGGGGGAGAATGCTCCGCTGCAAGAGGGATGGTGGTCACTGCAGAACTGGCAGGGCACAGTGCTGGTGCCGTGGGCGCTGCTGGGGCTGCTGTGGAGGCGGTGTTCACAGCAAGGTTGTCCACTGCCGGGCTCTTGTGCACCATGACTTCAGGTGAGAAGGTCACTTTCTTGGACTGTGGCTCATGTGTCTCAGGGCCGGGTGTCACTGGACCAGGTGCCACTGCTTTGGGCTCTGCAACTGCGACTGCTGCTGTCTCTGCAGGGTTGGGGTCAGGCATGGAATTCTCCAGACTAGGCTTCGAGGAGGGTCTCTCTAACCACAGTAAGAAAGAGACTAGCTCCTCATCTTCATCATGTTCCCCAAACTCAGGGATTTGCTCCTCAGGGGGAAGGTCGAAGATCTCCGTCCTCAGCCACTGTTGGTACTGTGGAAACAAGGGGTCATGCTTGATCTTCTCAATCCTCTGCTTCATCTCTACTTCATCCATCTTGGCCACCCAGTTTCGAAGGCGTTCTTCCCGTTCAGCTTCTGTCTCTGGAGTCTTTTGTGCATTGGTAGTCTTTGGTGGGACAGGCATGGAAACTTTGGCACCTGTCGGAGGAGTGCCGTCAGTGCTTAGCGAACTGGCCATCCCTTGAGGAGCGCCAGGGGCGGGGGGCACTGCATTTGCTTTGCTCTGTGGTGCGGAGGCTTTGGCTGGAGGTGGAGGTGGGCTAGTGGTTGTGGTAGTTGGTGCAGGTGGGTGGGGAGCTTTGCTGATGGGTGCAGGTTTGCTGATTGGTGGTGCGGCTGGGGTCTTGGGCACAGCAGGGACCGTTGGCTCACTGAGTTCCACCTTTGTGGTCGGGCGAGGCATCGATCTTCTCAAGGCTGCTGCTACATTTTGTGATGGCTTCATTTCCATCTTAACACCAACAGCTTTGGGGACACCACAATGGGCATTCACATAGGCTGGTTGATGGGGAACCCCCAAAGGTTTTGCAGGGGGTGCTGCTGGCGTTGGTGGCCGAGGAAGATCACGTGTCTTCAGCGGTGGAGGCATCGGGAGCTGGGAGGTCAGGCTAGCTGGTGCTTTTGCCTGCGGGGTTGCAGGAGGTCTGCCTACAACCCCTCCCTTCACTGCACATGCTTTGTCACTGTGAAGTGCTTCGGTCTTGGCCTTCTTCAGCGGTGTAGCACTAGGTGGTGGCATTGCATCTGGCAATGGGGGTGCTGTGCTTTTGGCCTTCTTGTTGGAAGTAGGCATGATGGGGGATTGGTGTCCATCAGGTCTTGGAGGCACTTGTGACATCACAGGGGCTGATGTCTTCGGAGGGCATGGAGGGCACAAAGGACTCGTAGGGCTCCCGTGGCTGGACACTGGCTCAGCGCTAATAGGAGACACCGACCTTGGGCAAAGAGATCCATCATGTGGGAAACAATACGATTGAACCCATCAGCATATACCTATGGTGTAAGGAAATAAATGAAATAAAGCTAAATACCCTTTGTATGGGGTTGTTTGATTGTTTTAAATTTCCCAATGGGGTTATGTTTATGTGTTGAGTGTATTAATCAAATCCAATTTTATGATGACAAGACACTCCATGAGCTTCATCAATGAATCATCATGAGGTGAGAAATCCAGGTTCGTTGGCCACATGACTTCGGATGCCTGCACCCGAACTCAAACCATGAAAACAGTGGGGACATGAGCATACATGTGGCTGAGGTTGACCACATGTCTTTTACATGGTTTTACATCCATGCCTGGGACTCAGAAAAGGGAACCGTGGTGGCCTGAGAATCTTCCTGCACATGTGGGGGTAGCGACACCCCTCATATTAAAAAGGAACATCCCGAATTGGACAAGATGAAACAAACATAAATAATCTGATGTGGTATTTTGAGCATGTTTTGGGAATTCAAAAACCCCTTTAAACTCGCACCATCCTAGAGAATCAAAAGTCCTCCGCAGGGCTGAACGCAGGAGGCGATGTCATTGACCGTGTGGCTGGAGGCGTTGTGAATGCCTCACCGGGGCCGAGGCAAAACCCCACCTGTCTACAAAAGGCATGCCCAGTATGTAACCCATAAATATCTAGGTATCATCCCATTACATAATATTAAGTCATAATTCCTTATATGTGATCCAAATATATGGGCTCTTTATAAGGATACACAGAAAAATAATTAGCCAAAACATGAACAATACTTGCCTCAGCGGCTCCTGGGAACCGGTCAAAGAATGCCTTCTTGGAAGCTGCCCCGCACGGGCTGAAAGAAACATTGGGCTCCTGGAACATGCACACCCCAATCTACTAATAAAGAAACAATTGGTGGAACATAGGCGCATATATTAACACACTTGTTTTTTATTATATATCTGTCCTCCACCGGCATCGGTCGAGACTTCCCCATGGCTCCCCCAAATCTACTCACCGAGCAAAATGGTGCGTGCTGAGGCTCAGATGTTACATGGGGCACCCAAAACCTATCCGATGCTATCTGACGCTATCTGACGGTGGGGCCCTCGTGAATGAATTGTTTTGAGGGACCGCCAGGGTCCCATCTGACGCTATCCGACGCTATCTGACGCGCATCATTTTCCATTTGTATTGCCAGGGTTGTATCTGATGGTATCTGACGCTATCTTACGTACAAGTAGTAACATTTTTTCGGGGAGTTGAAGGAAAATGATATGCATCAGATAGCACGGATAGCCAGTAAGATGGTAAGCTAGTATAATGAGTCATCATGGTTGCAAGTTTGTGTACTCATCAAATTTGTTTTTTTAACTGGAGTCATTGCAGCATAGTTTGCGTTCAACCACCACCACATTGACAAATATGGGGTGTTCTTTGAATTGATGACCACAAGCTCTGGGCTTTAGGTGGCCGTTGGGATATCATGAAATATCAGCACGGTGGGCCTTGCCTCGCCGTTCATTTAAATAAGTTTCCAGCCAGACAATCACTGGCTCCATATCAGCGTCGTCCCAAGTGTCTGGGGCATGGTTGATCAATGCCGACGTCAGCGGACGTGGAGCAGCAGTTGGATCATGCAAAGGTGACCAGGAGTCACGGACCTGGGTGTACAATGGAAGAATCAGGTCGGGTCATGTTGCCCATACTATATAGACAAAGGAGTGGGAGATTGGAACCCTAGCCGGCAACATACTTGTCTTGTGGATAGTTGATCTGTGTTGACCCTTCTTCATGTGGAAAACATGTGACAGGAGGTCCAATGGTTGAGGGCAACTTTCCGGCTGAAAGAAATCATGGCATGGACATGGCCATGTTCTCTATGCATCACCCATGCAGTTGCACAACCCGAGAAGATCCAAGAGGTCAACGCTCTTGTTAAAGCCATCGGTCAGGTGGCTGACATGTTTTTCCCTACTTTTGTAATGCAAAAATAATTAATCCTGTTCTCAAGAAACTGGTAAATTCATGGGTGTATTCATTCATCGATGATGTTTATCCTTTATAAACCCCAGGTTTGAATGCCTCAAGCTTTGATTGAAAGACTAGGGGCGGCTCTGGCAAACCGTATTGGATAAGCTTGTGATGCCTTCAACCGCTTTCCACCCTGAAATCGCCGAAGTCCCCTCCGATCATAGTAGTGCCTCACCAAGCCATTTCCTCTGGCATATCGGTTACGCCGGAGCCTCCTGCATGCGGCAGCTCAATATATAACATGGATTTCAACAACACATAGTATGATTAATTGTGATTATTGTCATATGGATTGAAGGAATCCTGTGCCAATTGGTAGATGGCCTATCCCATTACGAACCCATTGGCAGTTCATTATATAATCAAATTCTTACATCCACGATATACAAGTTGAAGGTTTTGTTTGGATGTTTTTGGTACAGTGCAACCAAATTGGAAATAACATGAAGAGGAACCCAGAAATAAGGTCCTTTGTAGGTTTCCTATGAAGTTGGAGTTGCTCCAAAGGCGCACTGGTTTTGGTGTAGAGGATCCAAACTCGCCCAGCCAAGTAAATGCATCGTAGATGTGGAAATAGGCAAAGATTTCGGCAAGTCGGGGATGCGAAGGTAACTCAGCTAGTCCAAAATCTTGGGATGTTAAAACGATTGAAACCAAAACAACACATCAGAGTTAATTAAGATCCGAACCAGTGACGTCATGGGGTTCTCAATGAGGAAGAACGCGCTTTGGTGGATGATGGCGTAAATCAGCATGGCACACTTAGTTTTGCAGGGCAATCCTCTCCACAAATGAAGCAAACAACTCAACAATTGTATAGTATTGTCTATTTGTGTTTCCCATTGTTTTGTGGATGTTTTTCCAACCGACCGTCAACCACACCCAAACTAGGTCCAGATCCAAAACTGAGTAAGTTTCAATTTCTTGAATTAGTCCCATGCAGGCCACATTGGAACAGAACAAAAAGGGGTAACCACTTCAAATATACTTACATTCCACTGGATCATGGGGATTCATCACCCACGCAGAAAAGATTGCCCCTAATAGAAGATGGTCATCAGCCATTCTTTGTGTGGTTGTTGGGGGATAAAAAAATGAATATACTTTTGGGTGGCATCTGGCTCCCTATGACTAGAAACCGTTAATGTTGTTGATATCCCAAAATTTGAATATATATACCATAGAGGGTTAACAACCAACTTTCTATAATGGATAGTTGTGTTCACCTTGATAATATGTACATGCATAATATATTATATATAAGATCAAAATTTAATATACCACACCTCGTATACCTATAATTCACCACCAGAACCCGTGGTACTGAACAAGCAGCACGGCTCACCAAGGTGTTGGCCTGGCCAGTTGCCTTCGCATTCCTGGGCCGGGTAGCTCTGGATGTGTCCAGTGCAGGTTTCAACAGACCATGGAAGTACAACATTTCACTATGGGGCTGCAAAAATAAATTCCAACAGGGTTGGAGTTCTATTTTTCCGTTTCTTAATGGGGTAAGTTTGGGATGTGCTCTATAGTTGGTCCCCACATTTGGGATGGTGTCTTCTCACATGGTCCAAGCATCGTTCCAAGAGGGTTTTCAAGGCTCCGTCGACTCGTTCCTCCTCGGTTTTGGGCAAAGGGATTAGTCAACTGGGTCTGGTGTTAGTATGGTGTTAGTAATTATATTATCATTCTTGGGTTTCCATCAAAAAGAAGATTTCAATAACGTTGAACTTCACAACACATACCTTTTTTGATACGCATCTTGTTCAACTTGTCTTGTTAGGCAAGGGGACTGTTGACCAATTTGGTAGCCCTGTTCAATCCAAGGTGCTGTTGATGGTCACCCATGTACTGCACGGTATCCCCATGGTCACTAGTCCAGTTGCACATATTTGCATGATGGCCAGCAAGTGGCGGCAGAAGCCGATTGGAGTCAACACATCCTTAGGCGAAGACAAGGGCAAATGTCAAAGAATGTTGGTAATCCAGGGCGCATACATGCACATACCTACCTTGAGCTAGAGGACATACAAGGGTGAAGACTTGGGTATATCGGTATATATTTCAATATTCATCATGTCAAGGGACATCAGCTTCGTCACGGGACAGATCCAGGGTGCATGCGCGCATGCCTTCCTCGGCCCATGCCTTTGACAACTTAGCCTTTCCGGCAAAGCAATCCACCAGGCTATATTTGCCCGGCGTGTGCACGAATGCCTGTCAAGAGCAGGATGCAACCCCAAAAATTGGAATCCAACACAATTAATAACCCACTACTTAGATAGTTTTTTTTCAAAGGAAGAGGTGATAAAAAAACACACATATGGGCCGTGGGGAATATAATATTGATCTAGGCTGGGATGATCTGGGTATATTTAAACCCAACTCCAAACGCCTGGCTGAGTATGCTCGTCAGAGCCCACAGCCGGAAAGGCAAACCAGTAGCATGTATTGCTCCATGTGGAATCCGGCGGGGTATGCAAACCGGCACCCGCTCCTCCTCTTCCTGGTCGACATCATCATGCCTTAGTATATATCGTATATATTTGATTTCTGATACAACATCGAATCAACTTATATTTCACATCTGACCCCATGAAAAGGTATCCAACGATAAAGGATAGACTCACCATGGTAGAAAAACAAATTCATTCAAGTTGCACCCTCTTTGGCTTTGGCATTCTCGAATGGAGGGATGCACCAAATCGATCGAACCGAACACTGCTGAGGCTAGATCAGAACACTGCATTTGCTACATGCTCAAGGTGCCGCAGCTGCCGGCCAATCAAAGTACTGTTGAAATATTTGGATATTTTGGTCGTGCAAAACGCTTACACATGTCTTTTTTTGAAGA